ATCTATCTATCTATCTATCTATCTATCTATCTATCTATCTATCTATCATCCATCCATCCATCCATCGTTGATTCAAGCTTTTTTAACGGTACAACAGCGCCCCCAGGTGGACACTTAATAGAATCACAGTTTCTTCATCCAAACTTTCAGCAAACAGGAACATTCCTCGATTGATCCACCGACATGACTAAAAGCAGAACTAGGCAGGGATTTGTATAAAATTAATACATTTGTTGTTTATTAAGACACCTAATAATTGAACTGTGCACAAAAATAGGCCAAACATCTTATGATGTGGTAGATAATAAATTATTAAAACATTTTACAGCCTTAATAACAACTGAACTCTTGCAGGAATTTTGATGCTCAGTGAAACTGAATAATAATAATAATAATAATGATAATAAAACTAATAATTAATTAATCAATTACAATGGATAATTTAAACTCTAAAAAAAATCATAGGGAAGCAATGATATTTATAAATACGTGAATTGTGGATTGTTTTTCATGAAATATATTGAAATAAAACTACATTTTGAAGTAAGGTTGCGTGTACTTGATGTTCGTTATGGTTTGATGCTCGATAAATAGGTTACTGTACCTTTAAGAACTGTCATCGGGGCGGTGCCGTCAACCCGTACCACGCATGCGCAAACTGTATGGCGGGCAGTGCAGGAGGAAGCTGAGCTGATTCAAGTTGATCAGGAGCTTCATCAGGAGATTGAAGTTGACCACCAGGATCAGGATGGTCGAAGGTCCGGGCTGCAGGTTAAACGGAGAGAAACTCCGCTCGAGAGTCAAGACGGGACAGGAAGTGAAACAGATCAAAGGAAGTTTAACTGTAAATAACAACAGGAGTCAGCTGTTCAGTGACACTCACTGAACATAATGTTGTTGTTTACTCCACTGCCACTAATTCAATGTGTCTGTTTGTAGAAACACGGTCCCAGGACAAATGAGGCGTTTGGCAGTTTTCTCGGCTGTCGGTACACCGGGCTGGACACTCTTGGCAAGGAGCTCTTCGTGTACTTTGGCTCAAAGGCTTTGAGGTAAACGGCACAACTCCATCATGTTTCAGGCAACATGCAGGTCTGAATGCAGGTACGCACTCGGTGCAAACAAAGCATGCACACTGAGTGCACGTAGAGATTAAATGTCTTGTCATGTTCGGCTGTTTCTGTAGGTCAGGTCTGCAACCTTCGGCTCGTTGGCCCCTCTGCAGGGGCCCTTTACATCCAGCTGAATTTCAGCAGTTTTCCTTTTGCAGATCTGTCAATGATGGCGACTACATCATGCTAGTACTTTAATAGCTCCGCTCACTTTAACTTTATGTTTTATTACTTTAACGTAAGATGACTGAGTTCTCCACATTTATAAAGTAAACTCAGACTGGCCTGCATCAGGTTCTCTGGATGGAATAAAAAAAAAAGGTTAACCTTTCGTCTTTTATCCAGACGACTTCTTCAGTCTGAGGTGCTGTATTCAGCTCAGTCTTATAAACAGCACCTTCTCATGGTGGATCATCCAGTTTGTTGTTGACATCCAGAACCAGCTGCTCACATGATGAAGGACCATCATGGCACTAACGACTGATCGTTAGTGCCATGATGGCCGCTTGTTATTCACAGGAGGCTGAGTGATACTAACGATAACAGCATTGTAAGAGGGGGACAGTTGGACACGGAGGCTCCGCCCCGTTTAATGATTGACGGCTTCTTTTCACAAAGATGGCCTCAGAACGAGTGACCTCTGACCTGCAGATGAGTGTAGACCACAGAGTTGATGATGATGATGATGATGCTCTTCTGTGCTGGGCCTTTTTTTTTTTTAGGTTTTTCTGCGTGGACTATTGAGCATGCTTCAGCATATTTATTTGTTCCTTCTTTACATTAATCTTTTTTTTTCTCTTTTGTCTTAAAATGTAAAAATATTGATGCATCTTTTTATTTTATGCCTTTTTGACCAGACTTCATGACATTGCAGTCCGTACTGATGAAGTACCCGCTTCACAACCGTGTACCCCTCGACTTCAGGCTTAAAGTACTGAAGTCATTAAAACGCTGCAGACTCTTCTACATCTATACTTTAAATCTCCACCTGTGCGTGTTTATTGTATACTCTGTACTACAGTATGTACCGGTATGTACGTTTTAAATTGTATGCGTGTGCGTAAGAGTCTTGTTTGGTTGTATTATGATTATATCTGTTTTGTAGGTGGTCTTTTTTACTTTATTCAAGGGGCTGTGGTCGCTCAGTGTTGCGGTTTTGTCTGAGCTCTGGTTGCTTCAGGAAAGGAGTCCGGTGTAAAACAGCCGACAAACACTTCTTGCATGTGACTCCTGCCAAAGGAAGCAGCTGAAAACACCCATCGGTTTCATCTTAGCTGCTGAACGAGACAAGAGAATTGAATCTATTGCATTTTTTTAAACTTCATTTCACTAAGACCATTACCGTACTTGCTGCCGTAAACGTTGCATTTATTATTCGTCACCGCTGACGCGTCACATTTGTTGTGCGTCGCCGCAGACAACCTGGAAACATGGGCCGGTGTTGTGCCAAAAATGGATTGGCTGTCAAATGGCGTGCACGGGAGGACTTTAATCAGAATCAGAATAAACTTTATTATCATTGTACCGACATACAACGAGAATTTAACATTTAAAAACAATTATTTGTTTGCTCGACATCGTGGCGTCTGTGTTGAACGTTTCCTTATAATAAATGACTTAAATGGTCAAATCAGCTGCACTTCGCCTGGGCGGCGCGGAGAAATGCAGCTGATTTGATGTTTGCTCCTCGAGTTCTGCAGCGAGCCGAAGGTGTTTGTATGGCAAGCCAAGTGTCTCATTAATAGCCACTTTTACAATTAATGAGACGCTTGGCTTGCCACATTAGTCGAGCGCCCTCTAGTGGCTAAAAATGGTAGTGTTCAATATTTTCCATGTCGGAATGAATGAAATCATCAGATCTCAGTTATAAATATGGAAAATAACATAAATGCATCGCTTCGCTGTATAAGTCGCAGGACATGCTAATTTATGCAAAAAAATTGTGACTTATACAACGAAAAATGTGGTAGTTGAATGTTTTTCTTACACTGAATGTTTGAAAAATGTGAATAAACCATTTTGACAGAACGTCCAGCTGCAACTTCCACCGGCCTTTTGTTGTTTGAGACTCGAGCTTGTTCCTCCTTCAGCTTCTGTTCGTCGTGATATAGAAACGATGTTTTCAGCTCACGCACGCTGCTGCGTTTATAAAGGTCGACATTCTGGCATACGACATTCTGGCATACGACGTTCTGACATACGACATTCTGTCATACGACATTCTGTCATACGACATTCTGTCATACGACA